CCAGGCTTCTGGCCTTGCTGTGGCTTTTGCGCGACAAAATCTAGACCCTAAGCAGTTTTCTTTCTATCTTTTAATTTTTTTCCACCTTGATGAAGAACCAGACGCTCATAGGGTGAGAAAAAAAGTGTAAGGAAGTTTAGAGGAATTAAGTATTTTTATTCTCACCACCGACGGCCCTCGTTCCCCATGGAAGAGGTGACCCTTTCACCAGCCCGTCGGGGATTGGTGATATTTGGAGACGGGAAGATGAGGAAAGGGCGTCCCAGCTCGTAGAGGGCGCAGTGAGCGCCCCACAAATATGTGGAGAATGAATGAATTCCAGACGGAGGGGCCCGACGGGAAAGGCGGGGGGCCTGCAGGTCAGCTCGACTGGTGTGGAGGAGATGGTTGGGAAATGGGGGTGGAAAAGCAGAGTGGGTTTAACCTGAAGGCGGAGAGCCTTAACCGGCAGACCAAGGCATCTGGGCTGAGTTGTGCCTGGGCAGTGGGAAGCCTTGGGAAGTCACTGCAGGTTTCTGTACAGTGATATGAAAAAGTGGCTCTAAGGAAGCCCTCCAACGTCCTGAAAGGAAACACTGATCCTAACGTGGAAGGAAACTTCTCTGTAAGGAAAAGTGGGGGGTACTTTGCGGCTCAGACTCCTATCCCCCCAAATTTTCTTTACCTTGGGACTTTTACCATCACTGGTGGGTGTTTGTCTTGATGGCTCAACCTTCTGAAGTGACCATTTTTTACACCCGATGCCCTGGTAGACTCTAACTGCCTTCCCTAGTTCGGTCTCCCATGGCATTGTGCATAAAAGCTTGTAGATGCTTGGAGCCTAGTTCAGATTTTTTTCTTCTTTTTTTAATGTATAATTTTTAAATTGAATTTATTGGGGTGACATTGGTTAATAAAATTATATAGGTTTCAGGTGTACAGTTCTGTAGTACATCATCTGTAAATTGTATTGTGTGTTCACCACCCCAAGCCAAGTCTCCTTCCATCACCATTTACCCCCGCTTTACCCTCTGCTAGCCCCCCCCCCA